GGGGGACAAATAGACCAGACTGAGGGGAGACACAGGGGCCATCATCTTTAATTTCCTTTTGATCATTTGGGGATTTAAGAGATCATCAGAGATCAATTGATGCAACTTTCCATATGCAAGCTTAGTTAGATTACCATAAACTATACAAAAGATTATTTTTTCTCACAGTGTTTTTAACCCAAGCTGGTCAGTTTTGGTTATTAGAATAGAATATCCTATAATTTTGTAAAAGAAAGGAGGGTCTTTTGTACTGGTCTCTATGAATTGTGATACCCGAAACTCTTTTGAAAAAGTCCCATTTTAACACTTTTATTATCCCTCAATTTAAGTTCAGATTATTGGATTAGCAAGTCCTGCAGGTAAGGTTGCGGGAGGGCCTGAAGTGAAGTATAGTCATGTGAAATTAAAATTTTAGGCTCAGGTCATTTGCTAGTTTTGTATTGTCAGGGTTGTGCGTTCACTGATTGTCTGCATCTGAATAGACAGAAACTCAAAATCTTTCACTCTCTCATGAAGACCATTAAAGATATAAACAAAAACAGTATTAACATAATGGAGAATATGGGTCAAAGAAGTTAGTGATCAGGTGCAAATTAGGCTACCTCTGAGTTCCCGAGGCCTATGTGATGGGCTTGTGTGAGTCCTGAGCCTGCAATCATGGTCAGCTAACTGAGACATGTGTACACAGGTCTGCCAAAGAGTTAGGCCTCATCCACATGGGCTTTTTAGAGTCATCAGTGGATTCCTGTGACAGGCATCCAGACATATGTGGCCACTTAGTTTGTACAAAGCGATGACAGGCTGGCAGGATCTGCTGCTGTCCGCCGCTATGTGTTCGCACATCCAGTAGTTATCTGCGGCCTGGGACAGATGACTGGCCCTAAACACAGACAGATTGCGACTGGGGCTGGTAATCTATCCCTAGCCACAGCTTCTGTCATTGCTTTGTACAGGCTGAGAGGCCATAACCGTTCCAAACCACCTGTAATTCTGACCACAGGAATCGGTTGCCAGCCCTAAAAAGCCTTTACGAGGCCTAAAAGTTGATCTAAAGCCAAAACCTTTTTAGTTGTGAACACAGTGGAGAGGGATCGGAATTAGTGTTGCCACCTTTTCTTCAAGTGAAACCCGAACACTCTAGCAACACGCTGACATTTGTTGGGGAGAATGAGCCGTGGCGTGTTCATATGTAAATAGCGCCAGCCATTCATATGTAAATATCAGTTAAGATAGGGGCCAGTAGCCCCTATCTTAATTTTGGTTGGCCCTGTCTGCCTGACATCTTGTGTCCGGGTTTCTGCTGCCATGAAACCCGGACACAGCATTCAAAACCCAGACTGTCCGGGTGAATCCTGGACAGGTGGCAACCCTAATCGGAATGCCTGTCAGGTTTTTATTGCTGTCTGTGTTCTTTTTTTTCACAGGTAAAATGTTTATTGTTTTGGTACAAGACAGCGCAAGAAAATTAAAATCAGCTAATCACATTTTACAGAGAGTCAGTACGAAACAATCAAACAACATTTAAATTAAATACATACATAACTAACAAACAGACTAAGCAAAAGAAAGCGTGGATCTCAAGTACCATTTGTGTCTCATGCTCAAAGAAAGAGAAAGGGACGTCCCCTAAGTACTTTCATGATGAACTAGAAGTATCTGGAAGACATTTGTTCCCACATCATGTAGAGCCTATCCACGGATTGCTTCAATTTCCACCTCAGCCCTCATCCATACTACTGCGTAGAGGGTGCAGGCGGGAGCAAAGTCTCTCCACCCGGCCCCTCCAGGGTAAGTCCCCTAGCCTCCACCCAGTCTCCCCAAATCCGATCAAACTTGTGTGCACAGTTGCGACTCATATAGGTCAGCCTGTAGAGAGGGAGCATTCGATCAATTGTGTGTAACCATTACCCCACCGTTGGGGGGGAGGCCAGTTTCCATCTAAGGATTATTTCCCTGCGGGCGTAGAAAGCTACATGAAAAATAAGCAGTTTCGTGGCCCTAGTCGTTTGCAGGGCCTCGCCACAACCTAGCAGGAAAATCAAAGGGTCCTCCTACAGCTGCAGGCCAGTCACCGCGCTAACAGTAGATACAAGTGATTTCCAATAAGGTCTGAGTCTGCAGTACAACCATACCATGTGAAAGAAAGGGCCCACCCCCACTGTACATCGAGCACAGTGTGCATCAGCTGTAGGATATAACCTAGCCGGGGTATAATATGCTCTGTGTAGGAATTTCAGCTGTATGAAACGTTCCCTAGGGGAGATCACTGTGGACACGTATGCCTGCACACATGCTTCCCACTGTCCTCCGTTAAGAGGGGGATATCCTCTCTCCACTTTTCGAAAAGTCCCACAAGTGGGGGGCCTTCCCTACTAGTCAAACGAAGGTAGAGTGAGGATAAAGGTTTGTGCATCCTGTCTTTCATTATGAACCGCTCGACTCGGTCGGAGTCAACTATCACCGGGTCTGGGAACTGGGCTCTACAAGCATGTTGTAGTTGCAGTTTGTGGAAGCGTATACTCGGGGGTAGTTTGTACATAGTCCGGAGTCTGTCAAATCCCAGCAGCGTCCCCCCCGGCATGACATGTTTGACCAGTGTTATTCCGTGGCGGGCCCAAACCTGGGGATCGGGAATAGAGCTAAGGTGCTCCAATCTCGGGTTGGCCCACACCGCCAACACCGTGCACATAGGTCCTGTGACCGCAGCATTAGATTTCGGACCCTGGAATACCAAGTTACTCTGCTCTGTGTAGAAACCCAACAGGGCCGCCTCTAAAGTCACCTCCGGATTGTCTTGATCTCGCTCGAACCACCAGAGAACAGTCACCAGGACTGCTGCCCAGTAGTAGGTTTTGAAGCAGGGCAGTCCCAATCCCTCCTCCGCAAGGGGGAGACGGAGAACCCCTCTAGACACCCTAGGTGTTTTTCCCGCCCAGATAAAGGTGGATAGAACACTATCTAGCATTTGAAAGAAGGAATTAGGGATTGGGACAGGGGTGTTTCGGAAACAATACAGGAACTTAGGAAGGAAACTCATTTTAATTAAATTGATTCTACCCACCGGTGTTAGGGGGAGCGTTTTATCATGTCAAGCATTTTGCACGCAGGAGTCTAAGTATTGGGTACAAATTGTCTTCTAAGAATCGGGAGGGGTCAGAAGTTATCACCATACCTAGGTATTTGAATTCCGTGACATACATAAGGGGCGAGTCCGAAGGGGGCAGGGAGGGGGAGGAGCCAAGTGAGAAGAGCAGGGACTTCCCGCAGTTCACCAGGAGGCCTGAGAAGGAGCCAAATTTGTCTATGATCCCCAATGCCGATGATAGGGAAGGGCCAACGTCACCCAGGTACAATATGGCGTCATCTGCATAGAGTGAGAGCTTCTCCACCAGTTTCCCCGCCCAAAGCCCCCTAACCCGGGCTGAGGCACGGAGCAGGATAGGCATGGGTTCCATCGCCAGGGCAAATAGCCCAGGCGAGAGGTGACAGTCCTGTCGCGTACCACGGCCCAGGCCGAAGGGTCGTGAGAGAACATTATTAATACGCACTCTATCAGTCGGGGAAGAATAGAGAAGCTGCACCCAGGCCACAAAATGATTGCCGAATCCAAATCTGCGTAGGATAGCAAGTAGGTAGGGCCATTCGACAGAGTGGAATGCCTTTTCGACATCTAGGGAAGCCACTGCTCCCGCGACATCCAAAACCTATCCACATTGGTATAGAGACGTCTCAAATTGATGTCCGTCCCCCTACCGGACATGAACCCTGTTTGGTCGCCATGGATCAGCAGAGTAATTACAGAGTTGAGCCGGTTAGCTAACATGCGAGTCAGGAGTTTAACATCCACATTTAAAAGGGATATTGGGCGATAGGACGCACAGTGCTCAGGGTCTTTTCCAGGCTTGGGCACCACCACAATGATTGCCTCCATCATAGAGGGAGGAAGAGCGCCCGAGCGGAAGGCCTCCCTGTAGGTAACCAAAAGGTGGGGGACAACCCCCTCCGCATGAGTCTTATAGAACTCCACTGGGAAGCCATCCGTGGAGGATATTGCCAGTGCCAGTTCTTTGTCAGTAAAGGGCTCGTCCAGTGCGGTACGGGAGACCGAGGAGAGGGTCGGGAAGTCAACTGAGTCCAAGTAGGTCAAGAGGTCAAGTTCAGAGTAAGTTACCCTGGAGCGGTAGAGCTCCTCGTAGAAGGAGGCGAAGCGGGCAGTGATGCTGCCGGGGTCGGTCAAGATGGACCCATCTGGGCCCACCACCCTGGAAACACTGCAAGTCGCTCCATTCTCCCTAATGAGCCAAGCGAGAAGTCTACCATTTCGCTCCCCCTCCGCAAATAGTCGCTGGGTTTGATAGAGTAAGGACTTCCGGGAACCGTCGGTACGCAGCAGTAGCATATATCTGTTTGCATATTTCTGCTGCTTGCTAGCTCAGGGGGTCTCTGCATGATCTGTGGTGGACTTTGCAGGATCCGTAGGGGGCTCTGCAGCCTGCAAAGCCCACCACAGATCCAGCACAGCCCCCCTGAGATCCAGCAGACTGCAAGGTCTAAGGGGGTCTCTGCAGGATCTGTGGGGTGCTTTGCCGGGTCTCAGGGGGGCTTTGCAGAATATGTGATAGGCTCTGCTGGGTCTATGGTGGGCAAAGCCCATTACGGATCCTGAACAACCTCCCTAAGACCCTGCAGACTGCAGGGTCTCAGGGGGGCTGTGCAGGATCTGTGGGGGGCTCTGCAGGGTCTCACGGGGCTGTGCAGGATCTGTTAAGGGCTCGGCCCACCATAGACCTTGCAGAGCTCACCACAAATCCTGCAGTAATATAACATGGGTGCAAAAATTGAAAAAAGGGCCTCAGTCATGAAGGGGTTAAACAGAAAGGGTTAGGGTAAATTTAGTGGGGGGGCCTTGCCTAGGGCAGCCCAAAACCAGAATACATCACTGCTTGTGAGGTAGAAAGAAGGGGGTCATTACCATACTAAATTCATTATTTTCTTGTAGAATGTCCAGCCGGATACCAACACTGGTAAGCAATATATGAAATGATAATACTCATATTGAAAATGGAGATTTATATTGAAAATGTATTAAAACTCTTTATTCGATTTAGGACAGCATGTGTTTTGTACTTGCAGCGTTGGGGTCCTGGGTTTGAGAATGTACTTTTTCCCTTTGTTAGTCTTTCTTTAGTTACTTTTTCCACAACCCAAAAACATACCGCAAGGCTGGTTGGCATCAGAATTCAAGTGACCATAATCTCAGGAGTTAAATCTTTAAAAAAAATTTCAGCACCTTAACTATTAAGAAAAATCTATCTTATATGTGTATCACTCGGCTGCAGATCCTCAAATCATCTCTGAATTGGTGCTGACACTGTCCTTCCTTCTGGAGGGGGGCTACTTTTGTCCCCATGGTCCCTGTGTGTGTTGTAAAGTAGTCACTGCTCCAAGCTCACTCCCGTGATGGACTACAATCTCACGTTTGGTTTACTAATTGTATTGAGATTCTAGTCCATCATGGGAGCGAGCTTGAAGCGGTGACTACTTTACACAACTTCCTTGCTCATGTGACCATTCTCACAGAACTACAACTCAATATCTGAACAATGTAACATTATCATTGCTTGCTGGAAGCAATGCATGATGGGATATTTACAGGGTTATTCACAAAAGGGTGAAGAGTTTGGAGAAGGCGGGAGAAGTGAACAATCTAGGCCAAAATAGCTGGTTTGGAAAAATTCTCCAATTCAGCTCACTTTCCGGTTCATCTATAGCACATAGCACACACAGGATACACAGCACAGAGCACACACAGGATATACAACACAGAGCACACACAGGATACACAGCACAGAGCACATTATGCCTCTTGACATCTTTTTAAGGGTGATTTTACACATATGCATCTGTGTTAACCGGCATTTTTGTATTGCTTTGGACAAGTACATTGTCACGCACTGCCATTCTTATCAAAAAAGTTTATACAGATCAAGAAATGGACGTGAACCTTTTTGGGCCAACACATGTCAAATCATCGAAAACAACGACAAACCTCCACACATGCCAGGGACGTAACTAGAAATCACAGGGTCCCATAGCAAAATTTTGTATGGGGCCTTGTGATTTCTTGTTACGCCCACCTGATAACCCAAACAGCCCACCTGAGAGTGACCCTGCAGAGCCCACCATAGACTCTCTATGGTGGGCTCTGCAGAGCCCACCATAGACTCTCTATAGACGCACGCTATGGAGAAACCATAGCGTGCAGAGGTGAAGAAGGTATTCTATGCATCCAGAAGTGTGATATGCTTGCAAGCATTTAAGTAAAAAGACATTTACAATTTTGCAGATCTTGCTGCAGTTTGGCCAGTTCGTTTGTTTGTCCGGCAAATGTAATGCTAAGATCAACGTGTACGACGGGGTGAGCAAGAACAGCACTCTGCTAGTCACGGTCAATGCAGGCCAACCTCTTCCAGTGCTGATCTCATCTGATAAATTCATGCTGCTGGAATATATCGCCGACACGCCTTCTCCAAGCAGTTTCAATGCGTCTTATAAAACAGGTATGTGCCCAACTAACATATGTATTATGTGGTCCATAAGCATTCAATCATTGTGCCTAGAGCTGGATATACACGGTTAGAATTACTTTTGAAAAGAATCATTATCAAAACATTGGTTTGATTTTCTAACAGTTAAGGGAGTCAAATTGGAGATCGATATCCACATTGATTATAAAAATGAAGGACAAGGATGGAAATTTTTTCTGCAATGAACAAAATTCTAACAGTGAATTTGGTTTTCGTGCAGGAAAACCTCCATTGATTCTCAAAATCGCATGTTAAAATGAATCTTTAAATTTCGAAGGACATTTGTCAAGTCTCCGATGGCATTTTCGAATGTTCTGACCAGATTTTTCATATAAATGTTAGTACAAAAATCTACAGGTATATTGGTCTCATTCACACGGGCTATTATTGCCAACAGAATTAGTGTATCTCTCTAATAGGGCCCCAGATTGCAGTACACTTTAAGGTGTTGCTCACACAAGCTATTCAGGCAAACATGTGGCAAATATCAGCGTATTCCTACATTTGTGTTCATTGGTGATTGAGGACAGTTGTCGTCGCTCAGCCTGTACAGATCAATGGCAGGCTGACAGGCTCTGCAGCTTGCCATCGGAACTCCGGGCTGGTGAAAATGTTTAAGTACAACTGAAGGCTCCTGTATGACAATCTAAACAAGTACCCAATACAGATACTGTGTGATGCACAATGCTCCTGAAGTAAACAACTTCCTTTACCTTCCCTGACGGGGCCAAATCTTCCTTCATTTGTGTCTCACACGCTCCCAGAAACTGAAATAATATCTTGATGGAGCAACTTTTTAAAGCAGTGAATGTTACATTCCCCAAATCACTGTACTCTAAAACTCATGCACCAGGAAGATACTCTTGCAGTGAATGTTTGGAGAGTGTTGCATTCACTGCTTTCTAAATATACATATATATCCAGTCCTGCAATAATGTATCATTTTTCAGGTGTTGATGAAGTTCACTGACTTTGACGTAGAGTCATCTGCCAAATGCACGAACGACTACCTGACGGTTAGAGATGGTGGTAACCTCACTGCGCCGGCCCTGGGTGTTTACTGCGGACACAAATCCAACTTCATCGTAACCTCCAGTGGGCCAATGGTGGTGCTCCAGTTCTCCAGCAATTCCAAAGTCCAAGGACATGGGTTCCATGTAGATTATTCTTTTGGTAAGTTGATGCTCTGACTTCCTTTCAGTTGTGATTTATTAACATGGGCTACACCCACATAATTCCAGCCTACAACGTACAAGAGCTATCCCACGGTACATAATTCCAAACTAAACCTTACATAGGTTATAAAAAAAAAACATAATTCCAGCCTAAATCTTGCTTGGGTTATGCAAGAAAACATAATTCCAGCCTAAATCTTGCTTGGGTTATGCAAGAAAACATAATTCCAGTTTAAATCACATATGGGTTACAGCAAAAACATCATTCTAGACCAAGAGGGGTATTCACAAAGCTGGTGAAGGCAGCCAAGTGAATAACCCACCCGAAGTGAAGTGAGCCGAATGCTGTACAGCTGATTTCTGTATGAAATCAGCCATACATCAGCTTGCTTCGGCTGGCTTCGGTTCAGCCGAACATGCTCAGCATGATATTCGCAGGGTGAAGTGCCCTGCAGATTGTTTATAAATAGTCCCTTAAGTGTCCTCATGGCCGGATGACCATTGGGTTTACATATACTTTGAATATATGATAAAAACGTATAGAGTTCTGACCGGATGTAAAACCTTCAGCTTAAATATATAGTTGTGTCTGTATTCAAACCTATCTCCGTGTAACCTCCCCTGCATCTTCTTCAAGAATTTCCCGTATTTCAGGCACATCTGAAATGTATTTTACCATTTTTATCATTTCAGTGCCCGCGAACTGAAGAGTCCAACTACCGATAAAGGAGATTGCTGTCTTTTGATGAACACAAATGAACCCAAGCTAGACTTGCTGAAAACGTCTTTCATTTCTGCGTACGCACCGCTCCCATCCACGAGTGATATTTCCCTAGGCGTTAGTGATTAATGATAAGCCGAACACCCCCGAGTTCAGTTCAAATTCCAACTTTATAACATGGAAAAAGTTCAAATTCGAACTCAAACTCAATGCAAGTCTATTGTACCAAGTTATTGGCCATAAAAAGGCGTATGGGGATCCGGGGACTGCCCTGCGGGACAGGAATCAATGAAAATAACACGTTTTTAAAAATACAGTTTTTAAAGGAGCAGTGATTTTTAACATCACTGAAAGTGAAACAATAAAAATGAAAAATTCCTTTAAATATTGTGTCTAGGGGGCCCCCTTAAACTGCCTGTAAAGTTGCAAATTTGTACGATATATAGAACCTGCTGCAGCAAAACTGACATTTAGAAAGAAAAAAAAAAGAGTATGGTTCTCCCTCCCAAACAATACCAGATCCTTAAGGTCTGGTAGGAATTTTAGGAGGGCCCCATGTAAAATAAAAAACAATCCCCCCGCCCGCGATACCAGGCCACATGCCCTCGGCACTGGGAGGGTGCTTTTCCAGGGTTGCCCGTAGAAAAGCACCTTGTCTTCCTCACAAGCCCTGGGGCGTTGGTTGTCGGGGTGGGGCTTATTCATATCAGGGTACCCTTCAGGGGCACCCAGATGCGCCCCCACCCCCCCTTACGAATGAGTAAAGGGTATTGTATAAATAGGCCAGACTTTTGAAAAAATCCTTTATTTGAAATAACAAAACAAAAGACAAGGTTTTGACACGTCTTTTATTGTTAAAAATAAAAAAAAGTAAAAAAATTGATCCACCAACGTAATCCAGCGTCATTTACGACTTCCGGCATTGTCCACTAAAATACTTTTTTTTAAATAGAAAGAAAAAAACGACGACCACCGTCCCGTCCGCTTGCAACAAACACCCGGCGCAGAATGTTATTTTGACAGATGGCGGCAACACATAAACAATTGAGCGGAGCTAGCAGTGACAGCTAGCTCCACCCAACTGTTCACATTTATAACAGGTGAGCCATGATTGGGCAAAGTCATCATGACTTTGCCCAATCATGGCTCTTACAGAGTACTGGGCCCTGATTGGGCAAAGTCTTGCAGATCAGGTGCATGGCTTTAGCCAATCTGGGCTCACAAGGCAGGACGAATAGACCGCTGAACTCCCTGACAGTTCCTGTGTTTGCCGCACACACGAACTGTCGATGTTGGAGTCAAACTCACATTGAACTCTTCAACTCGGACAACGAGCCCATGCCTACTAGTGATTTGAACGATTTGTTTCTTGCAGTGGCGGACCTAAGGAACAAAGGGCCCTGCTGCAAGATT